AGCAAAAATTTTATGAGGATATTCTAATGTAAAATTATATTTATGAGCGCCCCAATGGGAATAATTCGCGATGTTATGTGTCTCGAGAATATTGAGAGCTTTAAATTTGTGCAACGATAAAACAGCACTCTACAGAGACATTTAAGAAAGAAGTGGAAAACTTTTTTTAAAAATTATCAAAATAAATACTTTTCTAAGGTTCACAAAAAAATAAAAGTAAATGAACTAAGATTTCTTATTAATTTCAAAAATCGGACTTAAAGTAGCAGAAGGAATTAGAAATTTTCAAGCCGTTCGGTTTGCTCTTAACTATATTTATGAACAAATATGTAATTAAAATAATGTATGAAACACGGACGAAAAATGTTTTTGTCTCCTACGAGTTGCCTGAAAAACTCAACTTAGTTCTTGTAAAATAAACTACTATTAAATCAAGTCATGTGAAAAAGTATTTATACCACTTGTTGAAGAAAACCTTCAACATATATTTAAGTTAAAACACAGAACAAAATATATTTAAAATAAAACCCAGAACAGAAAATATTTGATTTAAGACATAAACCTAATCCGGCTCTGGCAATCATTTTCACCATGTGCTGTCATGTGTTCTCGTCAAGAAGCCATCGCGCGTGGATTCGCTTCACCTGGCTGTGTTTTTTCCTGTACCTGTGTTTCTTAACTAGGCGTCAGGTCGCCATGTGTAACTTTACTATAAAATTTTAATTTACACTCTGGCATGGTTGTGGCTAATTTTCTTAAGTAACAGTGCTTTACTAAGCTTGTAATTATAGTTTAATGTTGTGATGTAAAGCTTAAGTATGGATTAACTAGATTAAGGGTCAATCTTTTAACCTCTGAGTAAAGTTACAAGCAGGTTTACTTGACAGATTAACAGACAATAACCCTATAATTTAATCAGCAAGTGATGAGAGAGCACTCAAATCACTTTTTCCATAGATCCATTTCTTCATCATTTGCATTTTTCCCGTAGCTTGTTTCGGAATTTTTAAAATGAACTCTTTTACTTTCACACTAACGGAACTTTTGCAGGAACACAACCAATAACAATACTTAACCAAAAGAAATGTTGAATAATACTTAATGAACTTCCTGTTACACAAAAACAGATAAATTTTATGAAGCCATTTGCTATCGCTATCTTCCCCTAATTGCCCTAATCCTTAATACCTAGTAGTTTAGAAAGCAAAATACCCACTTGGTTAATATTTTGTGGTAAAATGCAGGTACAATTGAAAAATATTGTAATGTTTACAAAATAATGATAAATAAGCAAGTATTATTATTTTAGATATGCAATATAAAATTCTGCACTAAATATGCAGGCATGCACTTTATATGCATTTTGCATATAATCCAAGCTCTACTCATCACAGTTAGCTACAGTCGGAGGAATGTGTTCACCATTTTTAGTTATTTTTTCATAAAACAAACTTTGCTTGAAAACTCAAATGTAATTATGACAATATTCTGTGAAAAAACAATATAGTTATATACATATATGTGTAAAACCAAACAAATCACTTTCTCTCTCCTTTTTACGTAATTGCCCTCATAAAAGCCATAACGATTATTTAATAAAATACCGACCCGTACATATATAGATAAATATAATCGAAAGATTTCAAGACATCTTTCAGGTGAAGGACACCGTATATTCGAGAAGAGAATTGAAAATTTTCTTCGGTTTATAAATCGTGACCGAGTCGAAGAATCCGAATCGAAGGAGCAAGCCTCCGGCCCGCCCACATAGACCTTGTGGCTTGTGCGGCATTGTGTCCAAGGCCGTCTCTTTTATTTTTCTTTAAGGGTACGTTTTTAACATCTTCACTTATTATAATGTGCTTTGTGTCGGTGCATCGTAGCATTGCGGCTTTTATTTCTATTTAGTCTTTGATGAATGGTTGCAGGTTTGGTCTGATATTAATTGATTTCTTGTCATTTCTTTTTTGAACCGGAAGGGATATAAAAAAGACGGATACACCGTAAAAAATTTGCAATATTTTTTATCTGGTTCATTGATTTTCCATTTTTTTCTTTACCATTTTCGTTTTATGTCAGGGAGTAGAAATTTTAAGGGAAGAATGAGATAAAAATACATATTTTGCGCGTTGTATATAAAGAGGCAAAACCGGTTTTCTATTCCCTCGAATTCAAGAATAGCTACCCTGTAGTGTTGTGTATTTTCCTGCGGTACTATCTATAACTAGTGTTGTGCTTTTGGTAACGATTAAAGTCTTCAAAGATGATAGGTTCAGGTATGTCCCCCCCAATAAAATCTTCTCCATCACTAGAATCTTGTAATTACAGCTCTTCTTTAGCCTCTGTATGGTCAGAGTCAGAATCCAGAACTCAATCAGTTGCATTTTTTCGGGAGTGTCTGTCACAATCATCGTTCTTCCTTCACGTCTTTTTTTTACTTTGTGTAATTTTTCTCGAACCAGCCTTGTGGTAACCTTTAAAAACACTTGGACTCACAAAGCTTCTACTTGGCTTTTCTTTGGTTCTGAAGGAGTTTCGCCTGGAATAATGAGCGATCCATTTTTAGACTTCCAGAATATTTCTCAACACGTTCAGCGTTTAATCCAGAGTGGATGCAGCATCCCTTATAATTTGTTCTCGATCAGTTACAGAGCTGGGCAGGACATCTTCTTCAGTGAATACATATTTGTCGAATGGAAAGGCACCCGTTTTTCTGAATGCATTTGCAATATTTATTGGAGTTATTGCCCTTGCATATGCTGTCCCCACGCATGATGCAATATTATAGATAGTGAATGTTTGTCCTGGGTGATTCATCATCCAGGCATCTAAAGCTGCATTGTAAAACGTTTGAAAAGGTTTCAGTAAGGCGACATCCAACGGATGCAGTTTGTTCGTGCAGTGCGGTGGTATAGTTAAAATCGTAACGCCGTTGTCTTTGCAAAGGTCAATTGCCTCAATCGACAAGTGACTTTGGTGGTTAACCATTATAAGCAAAGACGGATTTTCTCTCGAGCTACTTAATAAAATGTTGGATAACTTGTACAAAACACTCGGTGTTCATTCACCCTGCATTTGTAGCGAAACCAAAAGTCCCAGGTGGAGCACCATTTGTCATAAAATATTTAAAATGCCCTCGTGGAAATATCATCACGGGCGGGATAGCAATTCCAGACGATCCAACAATACAAAATGCTGTTACAAGAGTACCGCGTTCTGCACTTGTAGCCTTACTGACTTGACGTGTTCCTTTCTCGGCACATTGACTCCTCTGAAAACCGCCCAATTTTGTGTTAGTTTTATTTATTCTTTGTATCTTGTCTGCAAAATAAATAAACAATAATTATAACATGTAGTTGAATTGTACTTAGAGAAAAAAGAACCCATCCCACAGTCTCAGTGTATCACTTGAGAACAGTGAGACAGTCTCAGTGTTCCAGACACGATGTTGTCTCACTGTTCCTAATTGTCGTGTTTTAAGAAAATAAAAATATCGACAAAAAAAACCGACACTCAACTTAAAAGCTTATGAATGTACTCTTGATTAACATAAACACATGAATAAACATCCTTACCTTAAATAATTCAACTTCTTGAGGATAAAAATGACGCTTCTAACACACACTGCGAAATACTTCGACTTTCGTTCTTTGAATGTCAGACTAACTAAATCTCTTTTTGCGCGAACTTAATCAAACTTCGTCCGATGCTTCAAAAATGTCTTTCCCAATGATACATGACACTGCGGAAGCTTAAATGCAGTTGTATTTAAAAATAATCTATTTGTCTCACTGGTCTGACCGTCTCACTGTTATTACCTCTCCCCTACTTTAGAAACCATGGTCTTACTGATTATATGTCCTTTTATCTATTGCTAGTGAGTTTGGTGTTTACGTTCACTGCTTGTCTAGCAGAGCTTAAACTTATCTTAAATACAGGTTTGGGTCCTGTGAATAGCAGTTTCAATTCTTTTTTAGCGAGTCTACAAACTTTTCATTCCCCTGGATTCCTTTGTGTTTTGGTAACCGTGCTGGTGTTATCCTATTGTGAATTGCCAGATCAATAGGTAAATAAATAAGTTTCACACTAGTTTTCATTTGATTATGTTTGAACTAAGGCGCACACAATTTCATTGCATGTATTTTAGTATTAAGTGGGATGCTTTTAACTCCATGTATGCCAGAACCTATTCCCTTATTAGTTTTAGATCCATCTGTAAACCATCCTGAGTAAGTATTATGTCTGCCTCCTGATTTACCCCGTTCTAGTTGAAGTCGACCTGGAAGAGTCTGTTGAAGGTTAGGCGAGAATCATTTACCTCATGTATTGTTATTGGGGTATGTTTTTTCCCAGTCAGTTTTAGTTGTTGGATATACCCAGTCTGTAGGAACTCATTCTGGTCTGTCCCTTTATGACTAGAGGCTTTTCAAGGCTCCTGTAACACAAAGAAATGCCCACATATGTAGTCCATAGAACGTATTTAGGGTTGTTGCTTTTTCTTTGGTTTTCCCATTTCCATTTTTCTTTTTGTTGGTTTATTGAACTAATTCTAGTTACATCCTCGTTTTTCTTTGATATTTCTCAATTTTGGTATCTGATTTGTTTCTTTCCTGACCTTTATTTTTTATTTTCTATCTTCCTAGAATGTTTCATCTCATTGCTTTGTATTGCATTGCGTTTAACTGTTTTATTTTAGAACCGTCGGTGTAGATATCAATCTTATCTGAAAATTTCAGCTCTTGTATATTTTTTGTTATAACTTTGTAGAACTTATGAGGAGTCCATGTTCTCTTGAAACAGAAAAAGAGGATAGCAGTTTTAGTCTTTATGGAGCTTCGTTATCCATTAAATTTGTTTCCTACTGTTCCTCTTTAGTCTCTTTTTTAGAACACTGTAACTCATGTACCTAACTTTAGACATCTGTATGTAGATCATTTACTATAAGTGTGTAATATCAGATATTTTATCAATTTTTTTTTTAAATGCTATTTATTTACCATTCATTTTATTTCTTCTCCTATCTGCTGTATTATATCTAATTCAATTTGTTGGCGCTTCCTGTTTGTCTTATTGTAATCTTTTGTATCATTTCTTGAGATTACTGTGGCTTTCTGAAAATTTAAAAAAGTAAAACATCAATTTGAAAATTGCGTTCCACCACTGTCTGACGTAGGCCTTCCGAGATACATCTTTCAAATAGGTCATTTTATGTTTTACCATAAAGGTTCAGATAAAATACCTTCCAGTTGGACGGCGCTATTAAATTTATTTGATCGATATCGTAAAGTATAGGTATGAAGAAATAGCAAATCCTGCAATATATTCCTAAAGGTAAAACAAAAATGCATTCATTGTACAACAAACTAAACTGATTTAGTATTTGGTAGTAAGAAATATAAATCAATACCTGATTTTTTTTTTACAAAAATTCAGAATTCAATTTTATGTTGCAAAATGAAATAATCGGACATTTATTATAATTATTTTTCTCGTTTCAAAAATTTCTCAAAAGTGTCAATAATTGTTTACTTAGGGAATAGCCATTATACAAGGTATTTACAAAAAAACTTAGCATCAATGAGAGAATTCTAAAAAAAAGGTTTGCTTACTTAATACATTTTTTTAAACTATTTTTAACTTTAACGCCCTGGGGCCCTATTCTCGAATGTCTATTTCTAAATGTCGCACGCCACATTGATTAAATTTCGATTAAGAACGCAAAAACCTATTCTCGAATGGCGAATTCGACATTTGTTTTTAGACATAAAGTCGAGTGGTATTCAACCAGTCGAAATTCTAGTGTCGCATACTTTATGTTGTGAGTGACTATATTAGTTAAAAGATGACCGAAGGGCTAGAGATACTGGCAGGAATTGAAAACTTGGAACACCAAGAAGAAATAAACAGATTTCTGTGAGAAGGATATTTTTATAGAATTTGTTTAGGGTCCTTGAGTAATATAAAATTAAAAAAAAAATCGACTGACCAAAGAACTTACAATTGAATTATAAACAAAATATAAGTCCTAATGAAAAAATTAATTAAAATTTCACTACTATTACTACTTAAAACCAGAAGTTAAAATTTGTCTTTAACATATAACTATAGCCTTAGATTTTCCAAGGCCACAGCTTTCAAAAGCAACAGTCTGCCTTTCAACAAACTGAAGTTTTTCCTCATAATAATGTTTTTTTAATAAAGTACGTTCTTCGGAAATGTTTGCCAAATTTTGGCTAGTCTGAACGCTGACCTGTAATCTATTACTGGCCACGAGTGTCCTGTATTAATAGCTATTTTCTGTGGTGTGCCTGTGGCTGCGTCTTTCTCTTTCTGCGGTGTTGGTACTTGCAGTATATTTTCTGCAAATTCAACTGCTGCAAGTTCAATTGCATTTTCACTATGTCCATTATTTTCCTTTTCCATCTCATTATGATCCTCGTAATCAAAAACTATTACAGTTTCCTCGATATCTTCATTTCCACTTATTAATTGTGGATGTATTAACTCTAGGACCTGCTCATCTGTGTCAGTAATGTCTACAACTTTTGGCCCCCCTCCGGTACCACTTATCTGATGATTATGCTGAGCTTTTCTTTTTTTTGTTTTGGATCTTATATTTTGCCAAGTCTAAAAAGAAGCATGATGGTTAGATTTTTCATACATTATCTAAAGCAAATAACTTACTTACCTTCCTCCAATGTTTCCAATCTTTTTGGCTTTCAGGGACAGTCTTTACTGTGGTTGCAATTTTTTGCCACTTATTTTCTAAATTATTGTATGAAAATTTCTGGTTAAACTTTCCGGATATTAAGTCTTCATTTTTAACTTCAGTAGTTTAATTAATAATTCTTTTTGTTTCCTGGAATAATAACTTTTCTTTTCTGTTTACGAATTTATTACTATTGCGTTAGATCCTAGCCTCAGACCTATTTCTTGGTAGAAGTTATTTGCAATTTCATACAACTGACAACTGGTAAAAATAAAAATCAAAAATCGTCTTCTTTTTTTACATTTTCTTCTTATATACTCGTCTTGTATCTGTCTATTCAATGTTGCCAGATGTTACCATTCACCAAATATGTCACCGATTTTAAAATGTTGAATTGTCTTTGAGAATACGGATAGTGTCAGTCGATTGCCATTTTGATAGACATTATGAAAAATGCGACATTTTTAATAGACACTCGAGAATAGGGCCCCTATAACGCAAACATTGAAAGTCTCAGGACATTTGTTTATTAAGAACCCTTCTTATTTTTCAGAGTTTTATCAGACGTACCATTTATGCCATGTTTTTTGAAAAGCCTTGTATAACTGTTGATTATAGTGTAGTTATGGCTTCATCGTAAAATAACAAAATTCTCAAAAACACAAAGGAACTTTTAAGAATCTTAAGATAACTTCATACAAATGTAAAAGTGGTTGTTTGTATTATTTCTCAATAAATTCGAGAGACGCTAAAATGGTGGTTCCCACCTTATCGAGACTGAGGCGTAGCGTAAAAAAACGAGAAATGATTTAACGTGGAACGAAAGACCGAAAGCCTATAGTAGTATTGGGACGTTAAATTTTTTGGTTTGTGAAGCATTGGCATTACTTAGGTTAAACCATGTGATGGTTTTCACAAGCCTTGATTTTTAAAACCATTCTATATCGCCTTTTCATTATGGTATACAAACTTGTTCGAGCAATTTATAAAATAATAATTGGCCCCTTTACCTCTTAAGCCTGCTCATGTAAAATATTTGGGCTCCTTACTTCGCCTATTTATATAATATTAATAAAGGACAGAATAATGAGTATTGCAACTATTTTAAAAGAAATAATATGGCTTTCAGTTCAGAATTATGTTCAGATCTATTAGAAAAAATTCTATATAATTCGCAATATCACAACTATTTTACAAGAAGTCAATCTGACTTTCATATACGGCAAGCCATCACTAAAAGTTCTCAAAATACAATTTTTATTAAAGGTTTGCAAAAATTTAATAGACTCTACAGAAATTAAAAAAAAAAAACAATAAATGTATTCAAAAGTAACCTCAAACAATACTTGATAAATAAACAACGGATATACTTTCTTGTGATAATACTCTTTAAACCTTTTGAGATCATGTACTTTAATTTAAAAAAATTACTTGATATTATATTAATACTACCTATGTTTAAATTATTAATAGTTTTGTGACTATAGGTTATAGCAACTTATAGCCACAAAATTATTTTTGTGTTAAAGTAGATCCATAGAGAGCAATATAATTTACAAAGGCCTTCTTTCAACATACAAATAAATGACAACTTTATAATTAAAATGAAAAACACAATAAAATACCTCGGTATCATAATTGATCAAAATTTGAAATGGGTTGATCACATAACGTCATTAACAACCAAAGTTAGATGATTCATTTTTAAATTTTATGGATTGAGGAAATTTATGACTTTATTTACTAATTATTATTTACAATTCGCTGGTTGAATCTATTTTGCGATATGGTATAATGTGGACTATATGATATTGCACTTCAACTCCTTAATGTAATCCAAAATCGTATAATTAAAATTATCTACAAAAAACCAGCATTTTATAAAAAAAGTGTATAATAAAAAAGTGCTTTGTATAAGAATATTATATTATCTGTCTTGCTGTACCTTTATTTATGGAAAGCCTGAATTGTGATACACTACAAATTATTTGCAATAAATATCAAAAGAAGCATACAAACAATTTTAAAATAATTTGACATTTAAGAGCCATTCACACATCACAGTTGACATCTTCATACTTGACAGGCACAGCCAAGCATTATTTTGATTTTTGCCAAATAAAATGGCCGGTTAATTATTCTATCGGGTTGCAACAGAGAGCCAGTAAATTTGATGGGGTTTTTGTGGCTAGGGGCAAAATAGTAGTAAGCTTAAGTTAGCGCCACCATAAAAACGTCATTTTTAAGAAACTGCTTATATATTTTTCATAAATTGGCAGGTTTGGCGACTAATTTCGAATAAAAATAGCCTCCAAAATGGCTATGGTTGCAATTATGAAGGTCGCAACCCGCCTTAGAAATCTCACCCTTACAATCAACAGCTGTTGTTTGACAGGGCGTTGGAAAATGTAATGTATGGAATGTTAAGAATGTTAGGCGTTAGGAATAATTGGAATTCCTAAAATTAGTCAGATAAGAAATGCATAGGCGGATTTTAAGAAAATTGATATTAAAGTAGTTAAGATAACCGAAAATTCTGAAAATCAATAGGGTTCTAAGTTAGAAGTAATTATTCAAGAAAATCATAATCGCAAGTCAATCAGAACTTTCGTTCTAGAGTTAGCGTGCCGGCATACATACACACAGACGACCAGATGCATTTTTGGAATTTGAATGATCGGAAACATGAAAAGTTTTAAAAAATGGGGGTAAGAAAATTTTTTCGTCTGCACGAACGCAATACTGAGGCCCAATAGGAAGGGCCTCAGTAATAGTTTTATTGTGATCAAACAAAGTACGTAGTTTTTTTCAGTAAAGTTTTCTATTTTCACCACGATTTGATAAGTTTTAAAATATCTTTCATTTCAAAAATCTCAATAAATTAATAAAATATTTTGACCCATAAATATATTTACAAATAAGTTATCTACAATCGCGGCTCCAAATCAATCTCATACATCACCAAACATCTCAGTAGTTACTGTCTTTCAAAATCCACACAATACAGCCAATATTACAACTATTTTAATCTCAGAACAATTATTTTTGACATACTATCCATAAAAATCTCCGTGGATATTTTCTGGGGACGTGCTGGTTCCTTGGTTCCTCCTAGCAGGACCCGGTGGATAATAATCCGGATTTTCAGGACCTTCAGCAGTTTCAAAAGGTCGAGGTGCAGTCAAATACAAAGCCGTTGTTAACTCGTACAAGTACTGCCTCATGGGTATATCATCCCCGATCATCATTTCACCAATAAATGGCAACGGAGGCACCCGGCTTCTCTCTGCTGTGTTTTCAGGACCTTCCGATACAAGAACCGACGTACTGGTACCTATTTCTCTAGTCCGAGGAAGTAAAGGGTTCGATCCAGTCGTCCTTTCTGTATGTATGTGAACTTTGCTTGTAGGAGTCGATACTGATTTTAATACATTATCTGTTTGAGTGGAAGAAGTCGGAAAATCAGTCTGTGTTGGTTCTTCTAAATCGTTCACAGCTATTAAGGATTGGGATAGTTGAAAAGTGCTGCTTTCTCCATTTAAACTTCTATAAAATATCATCATATCGCCCTTCAAATCGTCGATATCCAAGTAAGAAGACATTTCGGAAGAGGACGCCGATTCGTCGTCTTTCGCACGTTCTTCGTTAGTGATAACGGTCATGTCTTGTATCGGTTTTTGCCTTTCGAGGTTGGTTGATGAACTGGATGAGCCATCATCCGAAATTTTATTTACTGGCACAATAGTCTTTACTTTCTTTATACCTCCAGGCAGGTAACTAGCGACATCCAACAAACACAAATTTTTCATCGTCTTGTGCGCCAGAGCTTTCATGTGAGCTAAATCGATTTTATCTTCTTCGGAACCTGATGAATCGGAATCGGTTTTTTTGGGTTTTTGTTTCGGGGTATCATGATTTGACATACTGTTATTATATTAATTACCGTTTAAACTATATTTGCAACGCTTTTAAGAACCATTAAATAGGCATTTTATGCAATAGAATATCTGTTTAAATATTTTTTTATACAGTCGGCACTTTAACTGTCATCTACACTGCCAAATTTGAAGTAATGACATATTTTATCGTTGAAAGACATTCAATGGCATGATGTCACATACTCTGATTACTATACGGTGCAAGAGAGACGTCCGACACGTCCAACATAGAGCGCGGCCATTTTGCTGCAATTACTACTAGGTTAGGCAACACATTTTTCAAAAATGTTAAATTGGTAGTCTACATCTTGGTATTTTGAGACAAATAGAAGAAACGTTTATTTTAAATAATATACAAGAAACGTCTTTTAAGTAAAGTTATAATAATTGCAAGTGCATCTTGAAATAAAGGTGAGTGGTTTTAACCCTTTCAGGACGGATTTTTATTTTTTCTTAAAATGGTATTAAGTTTGTGTTTGTATGATTTTTGGGATAAATTAGATATACTAAAATTAATTTTTGCAAGATTTTTTTGTAAATATATATACAAGATATGGGACATAATCCCAACAGTCTTTTTCATTGGTATTATACATCCCAACAGTCTTCAAATGAAAGTCAGGCAATTATAGATTTATTTATTTTCTAAAAATTAAAAATTAAATGATACAAAGAAAACAAATTATGTATGGTAGGGTGTAAAACATGAATTGCAAAGTCCCACGGTACAAGTTGAACAAATTGTGGTAGTTTGTTTTTCAATTTTTCTTTGTGAATAGCGGATACACCGTTTTCGTTGATTTTGCACAATCAGTAGGTGTCCAATGTTTACAAAGGAACGTTGTCTATTTGAAGGACGTCCAGTGCTTAATCATCTTTTGACATTTGCATGCGCTTTCTCTTTTTCAATAAGCTCTTCTGCTAATGCCATCAAGAATTCCAAAAATGATGTTCGTTTATTCTTACGCTTTACTTCATTAAATATGACATACGCATTCACTGCAGCCATCATTAGTAGCTTATAAAAAGTTTTCTTCCACCACAGCAGGGGTGCATATATGGGGGTAATGGGCGTAATTACCCCCCCCCCCCCCAAGAATGTTTATACCTAACTTTTTATAGATACTAAAAGTGTATTGCACAAACTATTGAAAGACCAATTGCAGTATTTTTTGTTTAGTCTGGCAGAAGCGCTTTTTTACTTTACATTCGTCGGCTGTTCGCCTCTCAAAGCGCCTAACTTAGGTTCCCACTATGTTGTACGTGCTTGTATATCAGAATCTCACTCTTTCTTCGACTAATATTGCTTATACAATGCTTCTCAAAAGTCCCCTCCCCCCTCTTTTCTTTTGAACGGTGGTACTTAGACTGATGAAATTTGGAGGGTAAAAATGAACTATTGTAAGCTTGTCTACTAGTGGTAATAGGTGACGTAATAGGCATCGGTGACGTCACCAGGCAACTGAAATCAATAATATTAAATGGGATCTTATGACAAGTGACATCTCGTTTGAAAGGTATTTAGAATACTATTTTTTTTTTGGATTTACGATGTTTTTTTTAATATTATTGGTTTCAGTTGCCTGGTGATGTCACCGATAGTGACGTCACATATTACGTCACCTGTTACCACTAGTAGAGAAGCTTACAATAGTTTATTTCCACCCTCCAAATTTCATCAGTTTAGGTATCACCGTTCAAAAGAAAAGAGGGGGGAGGGAACTTTTGAGAAGCACTGTATAATTTTGTTTTTATATTGATTTCTACTGGAAGCGCACTGGATACTGAATCACCAAAGTGATAGTGATACTAAAGTGATACACTGTGTTCATGTAAGGGTTTTACTTTACAGGTATTTTTATGAAGTTTAGTAATTTAGATTTAAGTTTATGTGATTATAATATCTAAAATTTACCATTGTTGCAAATTATTTTTGTTCTTGCACTTGCAGATACTAAACACAGGCAGAAATTAGCAATGAGTAAGAGAAAACAGAATACCTTAGATAAGTATTTGTTAAAACCAAAACAAAATAGGGGAATAATAACCTCGGAAGTCGTGAATTTATCACCAGTCGGGGAATCCTCTGAGGAAGCGGGTTCGAGTTCGAGTATGGGTAAACAAACCGCCGAAACTAGCGCCGGTAGCAGCAGTGACCACAGCGTTGCCACATTTAATATTTTACATGGTTATAAAAATACTCTATGGTTCCGGATAAAAATTTTACGTACCCGTTTTCAATTCACAGAAAAAATGATAAAGATATTAAATGCTTTTTATCAAAACGACATTTTGCCACTTTTTCTTGGCTAACATATTCGCAAGGTCTAGAGGGTATATTTTGTAAATTTTGCGTTATTTTTTCAAAAGTGGGTGGTGTACATCAGTCAACTAAGTTGGGATGTCTTGTTACCACTCCACTAAATAAGTATTCCAAACTATTCGAAAAAGATGACGATTTGATAATGCATGATAAATCGGTCTATCATAGTAAAGCTGTTACAGAGGGAGATAATTTAATTAAAATTTATGAAAACCCAGAGATAGATCAAGAAAGACAAAGGCATATTTTAGAAAATAAACTTAGATTGAAACCCATTATCGAGTCAGTAATCTTTTCAAACGACAAAATATTCCTTTTAGAGGTCATAGAGATCGAGGATCTCTTGTCGTTTTCGAAGGTTGTTCTGAAGATGAGGATAGTCTTGTAAATAATGAAGGTAACTTTCGTGAATTAATTAAATTTAGAATAGAGAGTGGCGATGTTGTATTTAGAAAACACTTCATCTCGTGCAACCTATATTAGTAGTTATACGCAAAATGAAATAGTTGAATTCTATGGTGAGAAGATTTTAGAAACCATTTTACAACGAGTAAATAAAAGTTAATTTTATAGTGTAATATTTGACGAAACCACGGACATAAGTCATGAGTCACAAATGTCAATAATCTTAAAAAACTATTAGGAAAAATTTCTGTACGAAGATTTCGTAGGTTTTATTGATTGTCACGCAATATTTGATGAGGACACATTAAATTAAATTTTGGCTCAAATCTTATTTAATTTTATTAAAAAACTTAATTTAAATCCCGATAAGTGTATGTGAATTGGAACTGATACTTGCAACTTAATGCTTGGTGAACAAAAAGGAGCCGTTACTGAATTAAAAAAAAAATAACTAATGCACTTAAAAGTCCTTGTGCCAGCTACTCATTAAATTTATCTATTTCAAAAAGCTCAAACGTTCAAGGTGTTAGAAATACCGTTGGCGTTATAAAAGAAGTAAATGCATTTTTAAAGCTTCCGCAAAAAGAAATTGTCTTCTTAAGCAAAAGTTAGATGGCCATAGTCAGCTTAAAAGTCTTTGTGAGGCCAGATGGGTTGAACGTCACGAATCTGTGTTTCAGTTTCAAAGTACTATTCAAATCATTGTAGACCTTCTTGATATTATTTCCCACTGGAAAGATCGGGACGCCTCTTCAAAAGCAGAATGTTTTAAAAATGCTATAGGTTCCACCGTTTTTATAGTTTCTTTATGCTCTCTGTCTGATATTTTAGCTTTGACTGTAAATTTAAGTAAAATATTGCAAAAGAAGTCAATTGATAAACACTTTGTTACTACGCTTACACACAATGTTATCACCATTTTAAAAGAAAGACGTCGAAATTCCGAAACTTATTTTAGGACTATTTTTATTTTAGTGTCAGATATTTATAAAAAATTAGATTTAGAAATTATCAAACCAAGAGTTACTCACAATCAGAGACAAACGCTTCGGCCCAATATATCTGCAGAAAATAACGAATCTTATTTTAGACTTAGCATCTATATTCCTTTGTTAGATAATGTATTGCAAGATCTCCAATTTCGTTTTAACGAGAAATCTTTGAATACCTACGAGTTCAATATATTTTTTCCTTCCATTTTCAATTCAAAAACGGATACTGAAATTAGTCAGTCGATTGAAGTAGTCGCGGAAATATATAAGCAAATTTGAAAATAACCAAAACAGAGATTTAATACTTTGTAAATTAAAATCTGAATTCAGTATTTAGAAAAGCGTAAAAAAAACGATAGTGATAGTATCGGTTTATATTCGTCTTGCGATGAAAATATATTTCCTTTATTTAAAAAATGCCTACAAGTTTTGGTCACTCTACCCGTTAGTGTAGCTTGAGCTGAAAGAAGCTTCTCCTCTCTGTGGCGCCTTAAAACCTGGCTTCGTTCAACAATGGGTCAGGATAGAGTTGCGCTATCACTTCTGTTTATTCGCTCCGTGTGAAGTCATGGAAAGGGAAGCAAAAGCGATACTAGCGCTAGCTGCGGATAATTCGTGCATTTTAGGGCGATATTTTGTAATTTTGGCATATCAAATACACGTATACATTTTGCTTTTTTTCAAAAAAAGTAGGTAAAAACAATACAATAAGCAACCGGAGTTGCTGTTTTGAAAATTGTACAAATACTAGCAAAAAAAAACAGTGAAACTTATATAAAAAATGTCAATAGCAAAGTGGAAATTAAATCAAAGAAATAAATGGATAGGTATACAATAAGAAGAAAAATTACCTTTATTTTTGTAACAATAACAGTATTGCTGTAAATAGTAGAGATCAGAAACTTGAAAGGTTTAAATAAACAATAAATTATCATTTACGATGTTCTTTAATACCCCTTTATTCTTAAATGTTCATTCAGCAAGGACTAGAATTTCTGCCTTCATTATATGTGGCTGGAATGCAATTTTGTAACTTACTGATGGGAAACCAGTTTTAATCATTCATTCTATGTTTTCTTTCGAACCAAAATGAAAATATAAATAACGATCCTTTTTTTATACATTTTAACTTCACGCTATTATTAAATGGTATTTTTTTATTTTGACAGACTTAGGCAACTTCTCATACATTTTCCAGTAAATACTGTTGCCTGTCTATATTTTATTATTGATTTTGATTGATTATACATAATTTTCTTTAATTT